TGATCATGGAATTGGAAAGAGCAGAGAATGTACTTGTTATCTCTCATCAAGCTGTAGCTCGTTGTATTCTTGCCTATTTTCTCGATAAAAAACCTGGTATGTAGAAAATATTCTATTCCATTGAACACCATTATACAAAATGTGATTCATATGTTGCAATATAGAACGTCTACCCTATATCAGAGTACCATTGCATACAGTGATTAAATTGACACCGACAGCTTATGGTTGTATTATGGAATCCATACCATTATCAGTTGAAGCCGTAAACACTCATCGAAGTAGGCCAACGGTAAACAGAAGTCTAATTATTACAAACACTATTGTACTATGATTTCTTTTTCGTTTTCTTTTTCTATCTAGAATTGTAGTCCCAATCGACCAGTTGCGGTAGCACTTAATGAATTTCATGAACTACGTTCGGAAGCTAATACAGGTCCAACGACAATTCAGATCATTTACCACAACACTGGTACAGCTTTTGAAACGACTGATGCCGATGGGAATCGAGTACAACGTAGAGACAGTATCTTTGGTGATGTTACACTGAATAATAGTTTCTTGCCACCATACGATAGTATTATTCAACAATCATCACCACCTAATTGAAGATATTGATTACCTTCTTGACCATTTTTCACTATTGGCATGCACCTATGTAGCTAACAGTTCTTGTCCCCAGTTCTTCAAGTTTTCTTATTGTTTCCTATCATAGCTATGCACGAAGATAGTGCTATCCTATGTTTAGCACTTTATACATGATGTCCTTCAAAACAATTTAAAACTTGCTCATTGTGCACAGTGTAGTCAATTTTTGAAGCTTGTTTCAGGCAGATGACTGCTGGACACTATCGAGAATAATTCAAAGTCATACAAAATTACAAGAAAAATTTGTCATTTAATACAAACACTGTATCGAAGTTGCAAAGCCAAATAGAAAAATATAGTTCAATTGTTCGTTTCTCATTAGAAAGAACGAAAATTTGAGAAAAGAAACAAGAAAAATGCTCGAAAATTGACAAAAGATTGATCCTGATATTTTTGAAAAACGAAATTCGCATGTAAAGGTCAGTGAAAAATCGACCTACATCATCATCTACATCTATCGCTTGTACATATATGTCGATGGTACTAGCTAGCCATGAGTTTGGTCATACTCTCAAATATTTGTTGAGGACTAGAAACCAAAGAATGATAGCATTATGAATTTCATGTTATATTCGTAAGAATGAGGACATTGGTTATGTGCTAAAATTGGCATCATTTCTTTTTTATGACCGAGTTTCGACCAAACGAACTTAATGCTAAAGCTGGAAGTTGAATATTAATTGTTCAAAGTACTCATTAATTAAAACTTAATAATACAAGTGATTGAGAACGATGCAATTATGAATTAAAATTATCCGAGCTCGTCCATAGCAAAACACTTCAAGCTTGTTTATTGGATGATAGAAAACTAAAAATGGAAGCAGCTGATCTAATTGATCGTGTTTACAATGATACAGGAATTTCATTTGTAACATCATCAATTACCCATCGTCAATCGTATTCAGTTAGTATGATCGATACGATATTTACTAGTGGACGCCAATTATCGAATCACGGTGTTGATAAAATTCACACAAATACATTTGGATTTTTTCAACAAGAAATTTGTGGTATTAGTGGCTTAGATGGAAGTATTAGTTAGCATCGGGAAAATCTTCATAACAGAAGTGTTTCTATTGGAATATCTCTCACTCTTTTCATCTAAGATAAATTGCGACTTATGTTGTCGAACATACAATTATAGTAAGAATAAAACGCAATATATTCCGATTTACTGACATTGAACTGGTTGTGAACAGTGCTTTATTTGTCTAGGCAAACACTCATGCAATATATTCATTGAATAAAACAAAATAGAGAAGCAAAAAGGAAATATTGTACTATTGTTAATAGCGTGAAATGTAAAAGTGGATTACCAGAAAATATTGTCATCTATGCATTTACACATCCAATGAAAGTTTAAGAAAGATTTGATTATTAAATATTTCACTTTGGTCCAAACTGTACCTATTCTACCATTGAGTGATTTCTATTTGCCAATAATCGACAAGATAAACGAACTTAGGCAGTATTCTTTGTTTTACAAATATCTATTTACTTTCCATTGATATGATGAAAACAGAATATTGATCAAGAAAGTGCTGACATTAATGCGGCAATAAAAGAAGTAATCCTTGATTGGTACTTACACGAAGAATTATGGTGGTGTATAAGTAGCTTTTTTTCTGTTTTGATATAATACACATATTTATCTTTTCATTGCTGTCATCACTTCAATTCAATCAATATTAGTGAATCGTACCTATGTTATTGTTGAAAATTGTGTCGTGGATGACAAACGACTGAGTAAATTTTCGATTTTTTGATTTGACTGACAAACAGCGTCAGCGTTTTTGTTAAAACATTTTACATTGGTATTCATGGTATCGTCCCTCTTTCGTATCCATCGAAAACACTCGTTTCCAATCTTGAGGAGGGATCGGGCCGATGATATCATTAGTGTTACATTTTCCATTCTTGGCTCTCGTTCTAATCAATAGATAAATATAAATATCACAAACAACTATCATTACGCTCTCAAAAAATATGTATCTAATGGAATGGTAATCGAATAATAAGGAAAAACAAAATTTACTCAAGCAAGTGTGAATTAGGCGGTCAGAATCAAAGTGACTTATTGGCAAAATTTTGAGAACATTCGTATTGGTTGAAACAATCACATAAAACATAGATTCTTCAAGTGTTCTCTGACAAAGTATTCGATATAATTCATTTCTTTTCAGTTACGATCAAGAGCAGTAAGAATTAAAATGCAATAAAATAAAATTGTAATAAAAATCTATCTAGTTGTGAACAAAATCCCATGCTTTTTTTTCTCAGTAGCCATCAATTCATTCAAATGAATGTTTCTACTGTGTTGTTTTCTAAACTTGGTATGTATTGAAATTAATGAGAGATTCTTTCCATTTCACATTACTACTGCTTTTTCAAATGTAATTGATCTAACCTCTTCTTATCATGCATCACTGGATATATGAAGCAGAAATCTAGTATGCATGTAGATTTTGTGCGTGATGTGTGAAGATGTGACTGAGATGAAGACTTCTATTATCACATCTAAACTCGCACCTTACGTGTACAAATACTAGTCCTCTTGAGTATGACTACTTCAAGTATTTTGCCCAAATCTATGAAACAGCTTGTAAAAGGTTTTAAAGTCTCATTCATATTTACTATTGAAAAATGTATGTTAAATTTGTTCATGTAGGTTCCAATCAAACCAGAAACATAAATTTGCTACACTGTTTTGACCAAACGTTCCATTTTGAGAAAACATCATCCTTCTAAGTTTCATATTTAAATAAAATTTCTTTATTAGTGAAATATATAGTTTGCATAAAATAATTGTCCATTTTTATTCATCTAGAATGAACAAATTTATATAGAAAAAGAGCACGAAGCATCTGTATCACATTATGATTTATATATAAGTATTTCTTCTTCTAGAATGACCTTAACAGAAAATATAGCCAATAACATATTGATTGTGAATCTTTTCAATTATGAATTCAAAAAATGAAATACATAACTTTCAAAATTTGCTTTATCAAGAATATGGATTTATATGTTCAATATTAATTGAACATAATACAAAACTATGACGACTAATTGATGGTCTCAGCTGAAGAATCATTTATTGAATAATTACAACACACCAATAGAGAACAATATATCTAAGATTTAAAATGTAGCACGTACAAACATGATTTAGATATTCTTGAAAAGAAAACAATAATAAAATAAAATTGAATTAAATAGACAAAATATTTTATTTGACTTTTCATCAATAAAAATAACGATTCGTTAGTCTTGTTTTCTAGTTTGTACAATTTAAAAAACATAAACAATAAATAACATATGAAATCGAACGATAACTTCACAGTTTATTTTAAATTGAAAGAATCATTTACAACAGATTTAATTGTTCCTGAAAATCAAGAAAAATCTTTAAAAAAAACAAATAGTACAAATAAAGATTTCAAATCAACACAATATGGATGTAAGTGGAAACCTTGTTTTCACATATACACTCAAATTCTTTATTGCCTTTTTGTGTAAAAATTTCAAGTCTGCTAGCATTGATGATTCGTTTTTCCATACATAAGTTCTGGTTGTTTTTTGCTGAAGCGTTTACTTTAAAAAAAATGTGAATAAAAAACATAGCGGTCTTTTGTTTTCTATACCTATTCTTACTCAGCTGAGAGTATAATAGTTAGTAGTTGATGTAGAAGAGAATGAAGAGAAGATCCGCATCCATCCTGTGACATATATTACTAAGTTTTACAAGAAGAACGTATTATTTTTCAATAATTTTTCATTTCAATTTTATTTCACATCAGAATATACTGTATTTAACGGTAAATAAAACTTGAATTCAATTTTTCGATTGTATCACCATCATCAATCAACTGATCAATTAAGTGTTTAGTACTCTTAGAATGATTTCGTCATGATAGTTAGACCGGAATGGGGACCCCAATAAAAATAAATAGTGGATTTACATGAGATGGTGCATTACTGCACTACATTGACTCTTTTTTTGTGCGACCTTGAAGCAACAAGCGTAAATATATTCGATAAGAAAAAAAAGAGAATAACAGTATGCAATATAGGTAGTAAAGAACGAGAGGTAAAGTGAGCGAAAGGCAAACATACACGACAAATACTTCATTTCTTTTTTTTCTCTCTCGAATGTGAGTTGCCTGCAGTATCGTATCGTAATCACATGTTTTTTTTTCACAACATAGCTGCGTCAACCATTGACATTATGGAGGTAAGAGAAAGAAATGGTGTTGCTGTGCGTTTGTCTGATCAATAAAAGTCTTCATCGACATTTTTCCGTCTTTCTTTTTAGCCCGATAGGCATGATCGCGACTTGACAACTAATTTTTCAGATACTATAGAAATTTTCCTCTAAACAACACTAAGTTAAGATGCACGAACATTTTCTTTGCAAAGCATGTGCAAATACAACTACAGTAGTTTTAAAGGAACGTGTGTATTTTTACTACTATGATCCAGCCATCTATACTATATGATATATCATACCTAGGTTTGTCATGAAATCATCATGTTTAGTCAAAGTCAGTAAGCAGTGCATGTTTTTCATAAATATGCACAAGTTGTCAAAAAACAATTAGTTGCTTATTTTAGCCATAGTAAGATATAATACGATCTTGACTATACAAAGTTGTACCTGCGCGATTTTAGAGAATTAGAGGCTGACATTTTTAGAGTAGATAGATACATCTGATGTAGGAATAAATTGAATATTTCAGCTAAAATAGATGAACCTTTCTGACGATATAGATGTTACAAGTCTAGCTGCTCTGCTGCATTTAGACTACCTTCTAGTACAATATTTTTCAGTAAATGTGTATTTTCTAAAAAACGACTCGAGCTATAACAGAGACATGTTTTACCACAGATAGTGTTGCCCATGAGCTGTCTTTTCACGGTTATGAAAATGTCTTATCACATAATTTTTAATGTGCTATTTCTGAACAATCTGGCCACATGAAAAGCGCAAATTGGTCGAATTAGTGTGATCGATCTCTATGAGAGTAGTCTCATTGAATTGAGTTTTAAAACACAATACTTTTATGTACAAGATTTAAGATACCAAAATTACCATACAGTACTCACTATAGACATTGGCCATTTGAACTCAAATGTTCACTTCAGGCGACTTAAGTGGAAGTTCACATGCTGAAAACTTCTAAATTGAAAATTTCAACTCTTTTTTTTTGCAAATATAGATGAGAAATGGCAAAAGATTCACTTTCTTGAATCTTATTGAAAGATAGAGTGTGGGTGTGGGATGTATGTGTATTTGTGTTGGTGATTATTCGCTCATCTTAGAATAACAGCCACAGCCACAACAATACTCCATAGCTACACACCCACCCTCTAGATTCTGAAAGAGCTGGTTTAGTTTTTTTTACACAGAAAGGTTCTGAAACTATATTAGCTACTTCTGTGTTTTAATGGTTATCAATTTATATTTTATAGATATTCTGTTTATATATTCGCACTGTTGAAGATTTTTCCAGCAAATGGTTTTCGAATCGAAATCTGTCTGATTGTTTGGTGGTGATCTATCATGATCATCGTAGAACTGACCAGTTGACTGGTTCGCATGAATGTTGTGCTGATCTAAATAGCAAAGCAACAATTTCAATATTCTGAATCGGGGATCGTTATGGCTCCTTACTCTAAGTGAACCAAGCCTTAGACAAGATCCTTTTTTGTTTTGCTTTTCGCCCACCCCCAGCCTAAGACTTGACCTCAACCTGAGATATGTTTTTCAAATGTTTTTGATGTCCAATCCTCATACTCAGCCTTTTCCCAAAGTTCCTACTCAATAATTGTTTTTCGATCTCATTTTTTTTCTTCTCTTGATGAAGACTTGCCCAACTGTACGCTGCCTGAGCTGCCTCCATAACGATCCCTGCTCTGGATATTATCATGTAGTTTTGCTCATTTACCACTTCGTTAATCATACAACAATTAAACTAAATCCACGGCCCATATTGGAAATCACAATCATCTACTTTTGTTGTGCAATCAAATATTCGTCAATGTTCTAAAATAACCCTGATGCACACGTTCATGATCACAATAATCAGATCGTATTCTGATTCATATCCAATTATCTGACTGAGTCAATGCGTACCTTCAATGAAAATTATCAATCAAGACGCCACGAGTGTTCCACAGCACAGTGTTCCACTCAAGATTTAAGGCTTAGATGATTTCGAGAATTTCCCAACTGACTTAAGTCTAATATTCGTCCTATTTCTCAGCTTTTTGTTCGAAAACTCCCATAGACCTCAGAACACCCCCACAGCATGTACCAACAGCCTGATTCTTCATCCCTCTGACTAAGATCTCCAATTCACTCCCAACTGTATCTGAATTCCTAAGTATAATAGTTTACCAAATAGAAGTACTACTCCCACTTTTCGCAAAGACGTTTTTACAGCAAATCCAATTCCTGATTATATCCTCTGACCCATGCTCATACAAAATAGTTCAATGTTGAACATGAAAGTCTGCCCAAGTGACAAAAAGAATTTCCCTTGCCCATTATTAAAAGCTATTTTTTTTATTTTACTCTTGTACTTCAAGCCCAAGCCTATAGAAAGCAAAGCCCTAGTTCCCATGACCAAACAGAAACTACCAGACACTTCAGCTTTAGAATTTCTTTAAAAAGTTGCAATCATTCAATAAAATGTTATTTCTCTATAGGTCGGCATCTGAAACTTCAGATTTGATCCCTTCTGATACACCGATTGTTTCAAAAAGACCAGATAAATCAGCTAGTAAATACACCAAAGACGTCACAATTCATTTGACTGACTATTGATTTTTATTAGACACGTCGACCAAGCAAAGTCCAGATCCAGTAACGCGTTTAACAGAACACGTGAAACTCGTTAAGGTAAAATCAACGTTATGATTAAAATATCTACCGGTGTCTCGATGATTGTTGTTGCTTAGTATCAAACTCCAAGTAAACGAATCGTTGTGAAGTCTTCATCCATTTGTTGCAACGATCTCCACGGTCTCAGCCTTCAATGTATCGATGGAAACTTTGTCGAAACAGGTAGGTCTATAGTATTGTCTTTTCTTAAGCTATTAATAAAGAAATCTTATAAATTGTTATTACCTAAAAGTTTAATATTCGACAGAAAAAAATAGCTTCGTAGAATGACAAATTTGAAAGCGTCCATTTTCCTGCATACTTCATGGTTGAATCTTTTTTATCGAGAAGGATAACAGTGACATACAACCACATCTATTTTTGCTTTTTTTCTAGGTACATTTCTGCCAAACAAGACTTTCCAACGAAATATCAACGTTCTCATCGCCTCTCTCAATGTAACGTTGCCATCGAATGGATTGGATAAATATACAAATGTTAAAATTGAAACGTTCACTGATGAATGTGTCTGTATTGCGAAAATATTATCAGTTAAAGATAAATTAATTTATGTTGTTGCACCAATCACATTGGGTGATTTCGTTGTACCATTAATACATAATCACAGATGTGTTGAAAATATTTACATATATCAAGATTCTACTGACGAAGAATCGACTGATTGGATTCAAGAATATTCAAAAATTCGTGGTAATGGATCTTCCATTGATCTATTAACAAAGCAAATTATAGAAGACATTGATTCTATTATGAAACGTCCATCACGCTGGTCAAGATCTAAAACATTATTGGCCGCATTATGTTCGCAAACAAATCAAACTGACCCATTAGTTTCTATCGAACATACGTTCAAAGATGATTTAAACACAATATGTATTTTCACATTATTTCTCGGTTCACGTCGACCATTTCAGCTGTTGCATAGTAATATTAAAATATACGAGTTTTATGATGTTGAACAATGTATTCAAGCAGTTCAAAATAACAGTTCAATTCATATTTATCTGATTATTTCAATGAGTGAGTTCCAGGATATTCGATCTTTAGTTGAACTCGATCCTATCCATGCAGTTTATATTGTGACCGATCTCGAATCGAATGAAATAATCGAGGCAATGTCAACTTATTCGAAATTGAGTGGTATATTTGTTCTCAATGAAGACCTACTCGATCAACTCATCACAGACATTTGTTTCTATCGTCAAATTCGATTTCGTTTGCCAAATATGAACATTTTCAAACTTGAGTCAAATATTCTCGATAAACTTAACGAACGTCAAGTAGACTTTTTGTGCTTTCAACTATTTAGTGGCATACTATCGGAGTTACCAAATCAATCGATCAGAACTGATGATAGTAGTACCCAGAATGATGGTCACCTTCTTAGTCATTTAATTGAAGCAAACACAAAGATCAATTATCTTTTCAAAGACTTCAACTCTTCTACATTACAAAATTCGGCAACAACTTTGAAAGAAATCAATCAACGAATTTTATCCTTAGCAGAAGATATCAATCTATCTTCTGATACCGTCTATCGAGCTCAAATAGTATCAGAGACAGATTTAAAAATGTTACAAGATAATTCAAATAACCTACTCGCTATACAAACATTCGTTTTAGCTTCACGTTCGTTTCAATCTGTAGTAGATATTTGTCGTCGAGCAATCGATAATCAACTTACTGTAGTTCTCTTTGAGCTGAAATTGTCTGATAAAATTTCGGTGGCACAATTAAATTCGGATACGTTGGCTTTTAGTCTTGGTTCTCTCTTTCGAATAGTTTCAACTGATGCAGAACCCAGCGGTGTTTGGCGTGCACAATTGGAGCCGGCTGATGGTGCAATGCAACGTATTAGAAATCAACTTCGAATTGAGATTGGTGGTCATCTTACATGGTTGACATTCGGCAACTATTTGACTGCTTTGAAACGATACGATGCAGCTAAGAATTACTACGAATATCTTTTACTCGTACTTCCATCGGATCATCCAAGTCTTGCTTTTATTTACGACAACATGGGTTTGATGTATTCGGAAATGTCCGATAATGAAAGAGCATTAACATTATTTAATCAAGCATCCGAATTGGACGTTGCCAATCTACCCATGCCAGTTAAACAGACAAAAGTATCAACTACGGATCTATCGTGTCCAGAATCTTCTTCTATTGACAAAATGACAATATTCAACAAAATAGCAGAAATCAAATGTTGTGAAGGAGAGTATCAAGCAGCAATTGGCTATTATCGTGAAGCACTTCATCTTGCAACAGATTCAGCATCATTGCAGTTTTATCAAACGAAAATTGAACAACTTTTATCTATAAAAGATACTGTTGATTCGGACTAATAGCTATCTCTAATAATTAAAATTTTTGTTCGTTTTTTGTTTGCATTCATATGTTCTATCTTTTTGTAGATATAGTCATCCAGTAGATTGTTCCATTACTTTATTTCAGCTAAGTTGAAGCATATTCAAGACTTTCTTAAAACAAAATTTCAGGTATTCGGATAATTCATTTTGAAGCATCAATGGTACTAACCAATCATTCGTCTATCACTCGAAATTTAATGGCCATTTGGTATTATCACAAAAATGTCCCATCTGATGTTCTGCGTCAAATGAAGATATATCTTCGCAAAAACTTTAGTTATTCATGTATCTTCAATAGCATAAAAGATTTGAGTACTTATCTTACGAGTGACCTCGTTATTAAACGCATAGTATTTATCATAAGTAGTGATGATGCACAAGAAGCAAAAGCAGTAGATCGTCTAGTTAAACGACGTGGCCAATTTCGGGGACTATATCGGTTAGAACTTGGAAAAAATACTTTATCGAAATCTTTAAATAATAAAGAAGTGCGTTTCATAATTGAGAAAATGGCCAATGAAATTATTAATGACCTTCAAAAAAATCAACAGCCAGCCGAGAGTTCTGAACATACGAACGACGATAAAGAAAATATGTCAGATGAGCCAATACCCGTATTCAATACCTTCAAGTCAGTTTCTCCACAGACAACATTTTGTAATTTGAGCAACGAATCACTCAAATTCCTTCTGTTTCAAGCCTTAACTGAAATAATGATACGCATCGAATACAATGAGGAAGATTTTGAGCGAATGTGGAATCTTTGCCATCAAGAATACATAATGGATGAAATCGAGGCGAAGAAAATTAGAACGTTTGCTAAAGAATACAAACCAGAGAAAGCAATCAATTATTATACTCAAAGCTCGTGTTTCTTTCGGCTCGTTAATCAAGCTTTTCGAGTTGAAGACATTGATAGTATGTTTCGCTTTGGTTGTTACATAGCCGATCTACATAACCAAATTGAAAAACTTGGTCAAGAACAACGAAAAATTGGAAGTAAAAATGACAAAACATATTATCGAGGTAAACGATATTCAATCGATGTCATACAACAATTCAAGGATAGCATCGGACATTTAATCGCTTTAAATGGACTTCTTTCGACAACTGAAAATTACATTACTTCTACAGTATTTGCTGGTATGGGAGAAACTCAAGACGCTTATCAAAGCGTGATATTTGAGTTCAACGTTGATTCTAAAATGACAAATTTAATCAGACCCTATGCAAATATAAACGATCGTAGTGCGTGTCAAGACGAGGAAGAAGTTCTTTTTTTCATGGGTTTTGTTTGGAAGATCGAATCAATGAAAAAAATTGGTACTAATGATTGGTATATTGTACTTCAATCATGTACAGACTATGACCCTGACCTGATCACATATATTGAACAAGCAAGATGTCACTGCACATATATTACTGTTGGAAATATCTTGCAAGAGCTGGGGGATCATACCAGTGCAACAAACTTTTATCAACGTATGCTTTTGAATGAAACTCTTTCAGATGAAACTCGTGTTAATTTCTATTTTAATATGGCCGCATTGGCCGAGGATCAGGACAGATATTTTGACGCGGTAAATTATCTTATACAAGCAAAAAACTTGATTAAATCGACAGTATCAGAAAACAACGAAGTACTAGCTCAACCAAAACCTCTTTTTGCAGACAATATTGTTCCCTCTCAACTAAATCTCTTCAATAATATGGCTCGAGCATATATGAAAGCTGGGAAATATCAATCTGCTAAAAAGTGTTTTGAAGACGCTCTTCAACAAAACGGCTCGGATATTCAACGCGCCACTGTATTAAACAACTATGGTCTGCTTGAATATACGTGTAGAAATATTCAACAAGCCGAGAAGTATTTCCAGCAAGCAGCTGAGTTAGCTAAAAACGATGCACGTGGTCCCGAATTTAAACGCAATCTGGATATAGTCAGTAAACACATTCCTAAAGACACTGAAACAACTGATGCAGAACGGAAATCTGAGCAGACGTGTTAAGTACTCGTTTTAACTTCTTGTTGCGAATCTAATTGTTGAATAGATATTAATTTATCTAATATAATAAAATAGTGCAACTTACCATCATATTGAAATATCAATGATGAATTTTGTATCCTCTATCCAACTGGTGAAATGTTTTACACACTGGTTCTATTGCATTCTCCGAAACTTCTTGCAATGGCTTGACCTATTCAGTGCTTTATGTGGAGTATTCATGTAAGGCAAGAAGGAATGCACATCCTTGGAGTTCGTTGCCCACGACTTGTCAGCTAATGATCAATTCCTTTTGTATTTTGGCGATTCTTTTCTCTTTCTCACGATCCACAATAATTACTAAAAAGAAAAATTGGAGACAGAAATGTGATCGCATCTATAGGAATTTTCGCAGTTTATCCAACCATATCCTTTTCATGTAAGAAACTCCTCTTCTTTTTCTTTGTGATTCTTCCGATGTCAGTATGTTGTGTTGATTAACCAATGCTCATCTTCGTCAACACAATGAATCTTGTACCGTCTCTGATTTGAATTCATGTATACGTTACCTTCAGTTTTGACTTTACGTCGTTATTTATGCATACAAAACAGACTAGCTACGAAGCCAAATTTAGATAAGTGTATATTGCAAGACACCTAACTTTATATAAATACATAGTGTTTAGTAACTGTCCGCCACAGGATCAAGAGTAAAGGATTACAGTCTAGTTCTGGCAGATGCTCCCAAAACATTATAGAATCTTCTAGAAAATGCTAGGAATACATTTTGCACTCATGGCATTCTATAGAAAGAAGCATATGGTGTGAAGTGTGGGTGTCGGTATTGGTTTGCTGCATATCGAGTCGTCTCGCAGTTATCTCTCAAGTGAAAGATTCCAATTGAAGCATTTTCTCGAAGTTCAAGGATTTCGACTTGTCTAATCCAATACAAAGAATTTATTTTGATAACTAAAACAATGCACATAACAGACAACAATAAATTTAGTTCGATCAACTGAACCATTACTCTGACATTCAATTCGACTAAAAATGCTGTCTTCTCTCATTGAATAAATTGGAAATGCTTGATTTCTTTTTTCCTTAAGCAATTTGATCGAACCGAACTGGTAGTACTTTTAGTCGAAGGAACATGTTAATGAATAAATGCACGATTTTCTCTTTCATGTAATACAGTTGAAAATTTCTTCGTGTGTCGACTGATTGAGACATCTATGATCTACACTCTCATAGGAATGAAATTGAGTTTCTATTTGCCAATCAACATTCGCTTAGAACAAGAGAAAAAAGATTTTCTTTACATATGACACATTAGTGCGATGCCTTGGACATATGACTCATGGCTGCTAGAACAGATTTCAAAGTGACTGATGCATTTTGGTTATAATTATCGAACAATTAATTATTTCGGGATATAGTATATCAAACGATTGAGAAATCTATTCTGATACTGAACATATTGTCTCTAGTTTGGCGCGAGTGTTCCAGAGGTGTGTTCGAAGCAAATTAATTTTCGATATTATCGACCTCTATATTTTTTACACATTATTGGTGTAACAAATGAATGAAGCTTTTAGCGTTGTCCATTATTCCATTCTAGTTCTCTTCGTTACTACGGGAACAGCCTTCTCAGTGATGAATATTTAAGAGAAAAAGCATTTTCCGCAAACAAGATCAATGTTACTTTGCTTCTTATCTTATACTATTTTAGAATAAGTTAGAATGCTTTTAATATTTCCATTGCCTGATTTTCACCAATAGATGTCAATAGTGAGAAGTGTATCTGCTATTCATAGGCCTAACGAAACGACTTTTTTTCTCAGAGAGAGTACACTTTATCGAGTGGGAAAAAGTTTCGTAGTCGACGTTAATGTATTCGTCATCAGTCATTTACAGTTATATTTTTCTTCGTGAGCCACGACTCGAGATGAAAATTACACATTGAAGAATTTCATTTTTATTTTCGAAAAGTTCCATTTTTTTCCAACAACGTGTATGTTGGACGAAGTCAATAAAGGTGAGACTACTGCTTCAGTGAACTTGTCCATTATCATTATCAACTTCATTGTCCTTACTATAAAATTGTAGATCCAATCGGCTTAGATGCCTTACTTTCTTGTAATATTGGTATCAAAGTCTTGGCATTAAGTACAGCAGATAACTTCGAAAGTCCATACAACAAGCTTAATCTGAGCAAAAGTAAATAGCAGCATTATAACTAACTTCAAACTGATTAAATTTTTCCGTATCAGATACTGACAGATTGGAAACTTCAGTTTTCGAGAACACGGATCAGTTCTTACATAGAAGTGACCCACAATCGTTGACTGAAGCGAATCCATCGTCAATCGATCGAGATTTCGATAAATGGTTCTCAGAGTTGCCTGATGCCGGTAATCTTTACAGTATTTTATTGCCAACTAACTGAAATTCATTATTTAGATGTCTTTTTGAATTCATTTTTGCTATCCCCGTTGGACAATTCAAACTATACAAGCCCTGATCCTTCTCCAATACTTGGTTTGTATTGTGACTCATATCATATTCTCACATCGACTTTGAACAATTTTTCCTTCAGAAAATTCTGAGCACATCAATCATACCATGTTGAGTGGTGCAGAATCACTACCAGATGCGGCTCAAGAATCAATAGATAATGAAAGAGAAAATCAGGTTTGTTAGCACCAACTAGGCCGCAAAAAGTCTGAAGACGAGCTAAAGTTGTTCGGTATTTTTTGATGATGTCCCTCATTCCCTCGACCGAAGGAGCGGTCATACGAAATAATATAAGTTTGTCTGGGCGTGGATCTGTTTGCAGTCATGTTTACACATTTGTATAGTCCTAATCGTAATTTAACAAAATTGACTAAAGGTAATAAGGGTTGAAGGATTCGAATTTGGGGTCAGTTTTTCGATTCGGACTTTCATTAGTCAGAAAATAAACCAATCAGAAACTAGCCTCTCCCATCAACTGAAGTAATGGACATATGGAATGTGATGAGTTTGCGATCTGGTAGTCGTTGGGAGAGTAACACGTTCGGATGTATTAGCGTGATTATAAATTTGGTAACTCGCGTAACATCAAATACATATGAAGTTTTTTCAGGCGACTAGTTTAGCCAAATAAATATTTTCAGTGTTTGACTATGAGTCTGTCAAGCTTTAGTCGACTAGTAGTAATTTAATGTGTTTCCATTTCTTTCCTTACTAGCTGGTATGGTTAGGAATGGTTGATGTGTAATTGGTACATTTTCTGTGACACTAATATGTAATCAGTGAAAGTTTTAGATGGTGTGTGCTTTACCTTAGCTGATGAATTGTATCAGATCAGCTTTATTGAACGTTGTCCTATCTAGATGTGGTTCTCGAAATAGATATGTATCAGAGAAAAATATAACACGTAAAACTACATTCATGCATAAATGCATTTAGGGTCTCACCATCATTCGCATTCAAGCCAACAACTACTTCTGAAACTCAAAGCTTAGTTTTAGTCGATTGCACATTGCCGGTATTTAAGTCTACTCGTATTATATTTTTTCTGGCTAAGTTCTTATTTATTCGCATATTTTTTCAGGAACTCTGACTCATTTGATTTCTACAGTCACTATAACTCAAAGAAGCTAAAATAAAAAGGTATTTATCAAGGAGATCATATCTTTTATGGTAAATAGAGAATACCTAACTCTTGTTTTAATGGAGTTTTAATGAAAGCAGAAGTCGTTAACAATTGAGAAATATTTTGAAATAAAGTATGAGAACAGTTTTACTGTACGGACGCAATATCTGAATAGTACATTCGACGGAAAGCATCACTCAAAGAATTTATCTTGATTTTATAGGAAGCAAAATTGAATAAAGTGAAATGAGATTCTCTGTTGGTATATGTCCTTCTCTGTGTTCATTCACGTATCCGAATATATTCGAGTATATTTAAATTATCTAACTAATCTGATGGCTACTTCGAGTAGGAACGTCACGAAAGTGGCGCATTCCAATTAAAGATCAGATCTGGTATGATAGATTTTAAGCTAGAAGTTCTGCTGCGCTTGTATTTTTGTTGCGGACACGCTATAAAATGACACTGCCAGTTGATGTGGTAATGAACATACAGGCTTTTAGCAGAGTTTTCAAGGACTATGAAGCCTTTTCATGCTAGTATCGCGAATGTGTTTTGCTTCGTGACTCGCTCAGTAAATTGAATGTAATCTCTTTTTTCGAGTACGTGTGGATACTGCTGTCGTAGTGTAGTTCGTTTAGATTACCGTTCGATGTCAGTGTTTGAGCATCAGTTTGAATAGATGACATTATAACAAAAATCCTCACGCGGGTACGCATATAATTGCGCACAACGAGGCTGACACTAGTATCAACATCGACACACACATCCTATTTCAAACGTTGTATAATAGTTTTGTTAAGGGCTGCAAAAAAGAAACACAAACTACCAAAAGAGTCGAATATTTAGTCGAAGGTAAAGCGGATGACATAGATGAGCGTTATTTGTGTTTATTAGTGATAATCACTGATTCTCTACAAATGAAGTATCAAACGAAAATATATAAAGAAATACACATTTTATCCCGAATATAAAATGAAATGTTGAAAATCTGCGCCCAATATCCGACAAATCTTTAATGCCTCAAAATTATCTAGACATTTCATTTTAGTCGCGAATTGACGTGGAGCAAGTGTTTCAGTTTGCAATGGACAAACTGGAATTGCTAGCCATAGACTACTCTATTCGTGGTCGTAGTCGATTAATGACCGTCAAAACAGAACCACCAAGCAATCGGCGTCTACGTTATAAAAGTGATGGTAAACGACAAGTTGAAAAATCTCGTACCCATCCAATGGAAATCAATGTATGTATTATTCTTCCATCTTTCACAGTAAATAATCTCTCGTATATGGATTCAGTTGCCGAACTTGAAAGAATGCTCACTAAGTATAAAGCAATCATTTTGGATTCAACTTACTATGATAACGTCTACAAATAATCCGAA